TCCCGCTCCACGTCTTTCCCGCTCGCTGTGCCTTTGCCGCTTGCACGCTCGTATGCCGCCTGCGCGAGACACACCCGCCTTCCCCGAGCTTTTGTTTCCGCAATGTATGCGTCAGTGGAAATGGGAAGCACGGTGAAATCTCGATAATGCATGATAGTTCAGATCTAGCTAAATATAAAATATTTCAATAACATAACCCAGAAAATTATTAAACTCTGAAATCACTAAACACATACTCTTATATCTAAAATATCTCCAAAATCTGGGATTAAGCGATTTATTAGGCTTGAAAAGGGGAAATACACTGTACGTGTTATTGGTGATGATGTGTTCTAGTTTACTACTTATAAATAAAATACCGAGGGTTTTATTGAAACTTTCTTCTTAACCAAATTTCGAGCTTTTTTGCTTAAAATAAAACGTTTTGTCTTAAAATGTGCTGTCCCTTGCTTTAACCAGTTTTACCAGTTTAACAGTCCCTTGCATTAACCAGTTTTACAGTATTAAACTCTCTGTTAGAGGAGATGTTGTTACAGAATTTGTTAACATCTCTCAATGCATTTTTTTGGAAAATGTGTGGAGAAGAACGTGAAACAATGTTTTGGGGGTTTTCGGTTTCCATATAACGTTTTTTCGGTTCTTTTTTTCGTGCAATATAATGACAGGGATTTAGATAGCTTTTTCTTAATTTCCAAAACTTCTATATCTTTATGTCAAATATAGAGATATCAGATCTTAATGACAAGATATTTTTGAGTTTTGTGGTGGTCTCTTCGTCGAAGCTCTTTGACTTTTCATTGCAAATTGAAGTACACGAAAAATTAATGTTCGAACGTTTGCTCGTAATTAAAGTTCTTATTCATAACGGTGTTGAATATTGAACTAATTTATGCACGCAAAGGCAACATTTTCGTGGATGCGTGTTATACAATAGGATGTGATTTTCATGCATTTGTTGCAGTGTGCCGCTCCTCCACAGCAAGTAAGTGTCAAATGTCTCGCGCAAAAACGCGAGAATTCGTAGATCGCGCCTTCACGCCATCAATATGAGTCAAGCTAAAGAAACGCGATTTCTCTAAGAACTCTCGCTTTTCTTCTCCACGGAGCTTGCTTGCATTCAGCTGGAATAATTTTTTGCTTCTAAATATAGGTTGTTTCCCGAATTGATAATTCTACTTATTTACCGTGGCATTGGATTAGTGAAGCAACATTGTAACATTTCCAAAATAAAAGTATTACTTTTCTTTTAATATTATTTACTGTCGGTTATTTTGATGGTCATTATTTCTTTGTATATTTAATTTAAATGTAATGGAGAGATCTGTAGTAATAACTGAGGTTCGGCATATTTTATTTATGTATTTGTACTAACGATGGATAAAATAATGAGGTATTTTCATAAATAAGAGGCCTTGCCTCAGGGTAGAATAATAGACGCTCTGGTTAAATTTCTTTATCTAATAAATCTAATGATGCTAATAAACACAACCAAAATGTTAACCTTTATGTTTATACTTTACAAAAATGAATAAGGAAAGGAAAATAGTAATTTGCTGCGCAGTTACTCCAATATATCCCCGCTGTACAGTATTATTCGAAATCCTTCGCAGTCCAGGATGAGCCGCTTTACAGTCGGTGGAGCTGACGTTTGTTGGTACAAGTATTGTTCAGAAGAAGACCACAACATAATGGCTGAAACGTCAGCTCGATCGACTGAGCTCATCCTTGACTGCCAAACATCAAATGACTCTGGCCGCGGACGGTTACGAATCGACTTTATTTGAAATGAATTGAAAAAACACAATTCTTTTGAATCAACGTCGAATCTATAGTAACATGTTTTGGCTGTTATATTTAGCTAGGTACTGATTGATTTCCTTATTAGTAAGGTCTCACTGTGCGATGTGTGTTTGTGCAGCGTCCGCGCGAGGCGCCAGCGTGGGCGGCGTGGGCGTGGCGGCCGGCGCCGCCCCCGGGGCGGAGTTCAGCGCCGCCCCCGACCAGCCCGCCTTCGCCACCACGGGCAAGACGTACCGCATCGTCACCAAGGACACCGTCGTGTTGCCCTGCGAGGTCACCAACGCCGGTGAGTCCTTGCGCTCTGGCTTCTTTTCAGGTTTTGGACGATTGGAAATGAATCCGTGCGCTCACTCCTGCTTTGAGGTTTTGCTAAGTATTTTTTCGTTTGGTACATTAGACGTTGCTTGTTTTGATTCTAATACTCGTTAATGAAACAATGTAGGCTATTCCGGCTGGATACATCATTAATAATACCTTTCGGTACGGATAGCCATTTCTGCATTTATGCCAGTAAATTATATGAACCGATAGTCTCAGTAGCCATTGAAGATGTCTACCGCATTCGCAGATGAAATGTTTGGGTTCAAAATGTTCAATAGACCGTGGTTATATATCCAGGAAAGTATTATTAGTAATCTAAATGTCGTTGTTAAAGGTAGAACAATCTGATACTGATAGTCTTCCTCAAAAATCTCCTAAATTCACCTCACTATTCGTTGCTCTCTGGCAGGAGCCTTGTTGAACAACTGTGGAATACAAATTTTTCTTAGATTTAATAACAGTTCCTCTTAGCATCTCTTTTTGAAACACCGAGAGCACTCCCGCTCTCATTGTTATATACTTGTATTCTTCAGAAAGTCTAGTCTTCGAAACATTTACAAGATTGGCACCATAGATACATAATCTTTTCATAAAATGCAGAATAAAATTTAGAACGTTTGTTAAATAAAAGGGGAGAGGAAGACAGGTTAGACACTAGTTGACAGATTTTTATACAGTATTTATGTCAGGAGAATATTTGAACCTATAGTTCAACCTTTTTCTCGAAATGACAAAACTTATTTTTATGCCGGACATTATAATTGTGATCGATTTATGACTTTGGAGACCGTATTAAAATGTTTGTAAATAACAGATAGCATAGCCGTATTAAAGAGACCGTATTAAAATGTTTGTAAATAACAGATAGCATAGCAATAACAGATAGCATTGCCGTTGGTGTTTAAAATGACACGTATTCTGAATATAATATCACATTCTTAAGAACGAAATGGAAATTGGTATGATAAGGCGCAAAAGGTTAATAATTATACTAATGATTTATCGAGGTGTAAAACCTAGTACTAAAAGTGAACAGAAAGAAAATGAATTATTACAATGCGATTCCTGGCGACGTTATAATCTACACGTGAGTCGGGTGGGTGGGGTGGTGGTGGATCACTCCCCAGGCCCACAGTGAGCGTGATGAGAGGGTGGTGATCCGGATTCCCCTCCGCGTGCAGTGTGATGGCGCGTTCGTGCCGGCGGGAGCGCGCTTGCCACTGCGCAATTTCGTGGAAATCGAGCTCGCATCGCTCGCGCGCGCGCCCTCGGGCTGGCGGGCGGACGAACGCGAGGAGTTCCCCAGGGGCCGCGACTCTGCCTCCGCGACCGCGAGCGCACTCATGCGGCAGAAATGAGAAGCTTGGTTCAGTCAATGGGGCTACGGGCGTGTGCGCTGTCTGTTCACCACCGTACTTCCTTGACTGTTAAAAAAAAAGAAAGTTTTCAATCGTCGCTGTCGAGTGCAGAGCCAAATGTACGCCGGTCGCAAAGGCTCCAATGGCTTTTGTGGTGTAGAATTATAAATGTATGGGAGACGGATGGCCTCAGGATGTCAAAATTGCTGATACCGAATACTGAGGGCAGATATGTAAGACTTAGCGGGTTAATAGACGTTAAAACAAAACAGATGGTGATGTTTTGATGAAAAAAGAAGGATTTTACACCAGCAGTGATAAGATTCTTAAGAAAGTAAAGTACTTGACCTTAAAAATTAAACTCATTACTAATTTAAAATTGTAATATAAGTACTTACTGCAAAACCTACGTGCAAATAAACTCAACTAATTGTATAATTTCTTAACAATCTTAACATTTTTCGGTGCAGTGTTTGACATTATAATTAGTAAAACATATTTATAAGTATGTTGTAACTATTGCATAAAACTACTATGATTACCTAACATGGACCGTTCAAAAGCAGAAGTGAAAAGTGTATTGCTAGAGATTACGTAACAAATATAATATTTTCACTAACATAATAATCCTCTCCTTTTCTCATCTTTGATCATATTATTTCTTCCTCACGCCTTGCACTTCCTTACGTCATGTCTGAGACCAGTATACGTTCTTTCCAGTTGAAAAGCAAACTCGCAAAGTGTAAATCCCGAAGAAGCCAACACGTAACACATAAACCCATTATATTCCCGTACAAAGCTCGAAAGGAAACGTTTCTTCTCGTTTCTATACGAAGTGCATCGGGTGCCCGCGTTTTGCAAACGATAAGCGCGTAAGTGGAAACGTGGCTTGCCAACAAAGGGCTCACTCGCCGCAGTGGGCGTGTACACGTGCGCGTTCCCACGTGGCTTGCCGCGTGTGCGAGTCGAGGCCGCGGCGGCGGGAGTCTACAAAGCAGCAGCAGCAGCCGCGGGCGCCCGCGCCCCTGTTGTGCCGCGAGGCGGAGTCTGCCCGGGGAGACGGAGGAGCGTTGCAGCGCGCGGGAAGGAAAAGAAGGAAGCGGTGCGCGCGTCAGAAGCCAAAGCCCGCTTGTAACGAGGGATTGGGCTGCGCCGTAACACGCCCCCATCCACCGCCGCGCGCAGAAGGAGCTAAGGGCGGGAAAAACCTCGCGGCAAGGGACTCCATGGTGCATTGCACCTCGCTGACGTGATGGGAGGGCGTATGTAACGGGGGAAAGATGAACTCCGTGTTGATTATTGAAGGTGGTTTGTTATGAGCGGTTTCATCATAACATGGGATAAGCAGCCCAGCACTCGGTCGCTGCCATGAGGAGGGTGGGGAGGTGTGGCGGGGATAGGTTGGCATTGGGTCGCTCGCTCCGGCCTTGCGTCGATTCCCGTGTCGGTCTACCCGAAGGTAACAATCCACCCGTAGAGACGGGACGCCGGCGATCACTATCGCGCTGACAAAGAGCGGGAAACTGGCGACCATCTCGGTCCCGGGAGCGGTGATTATAGACTCCATCCTTGCGGCAGCGGAGGTGGCGTTGCCGTCGTTCCGGGAACACAGGGGTGCGGCGGTGGTGGGCGGCAGGACATCTGGACCCCACGGCAGCGTGGCCCGGGCGCAGTGAAAGTGTCCAAGGATGCGAGGCGGCGTCGCGGCATCACATCGTCAGGCACGACACGACCCGACACGTCATACAACGACAAGCAACAGCAAGTCACAACACGACATGTCACGCGATGCCATGGCTCGACATGCCATGCCATTCCACGTTACGACACACTATGCCATTACATAATACACAATGATTTTTCACGCGGCACTATAGCACCTCACCAAAAGACGTGACAAAACATGACTTAACATGTCACTCCACTCGACTCGACGCGTCACCACTCCTTGCCTAGCAACGCCTCTTTCTGCATCTCAATGCCACGTCGCACCAGGCCACGTTGTGCTCCCAAACGCCACGACCCGCTGTGACCCGCGTCGGCCGCTTGCCACGCCACTGCAGGGACCGCGGTATCCTGTGTATGGCCTCGCCACGCGAAACCGTTTCTCAACTCGTTTCTTCACGCGACGCCACGCGAACTCACGCCACGTTTCGTTTCGCGTCGTCTCGTCACGGCCACACCACGCCACACGTTTCACCACGCGACGCCACACCACACTATGCCACGCCACACTACGCCGCGCCACACCACGCCACGCCACGTCACTCCACGCCGCGCCACGCCACGCCACGCCACGCCAAGCTACGCCCTGCCTCGCCTTCCACGCTACTCCACGAATGCCCCACTTCGTCCAGGCACTCCACGTCACACAGCGCCTCAACGCTTGAAAACTTTCATGCCACTGTATCTCCCGCCATCTCAAACCATGCCATGTGCCGACTGGCCCCGCTACTCTTTGCCATACGATCCCAAGCGACACCACGCCTCCCCGCACCTCCAGGGGCTGCGGCACGCCACGACCCGACACGCAACGACACGATAACGCCATGCGGCTCACGCCCCTCCCGTCTCGCGTTCGGAATAGCGAGCAGCGCGGTTCCATTGACACGCAGCAGACACGCAGGGCAGACAACGTTCGCTTTCCGTCTCTAAATTTTCAGCTCAAGATCTTCGAATTACAGCTCGATTTTAAATTCTAGTACTGGATCTTAAGTATGATTTTGCCTCTGGACTGCTCCGAATGCTACTGAAAGTGCTAATGAACTCGAAGTTCTAATCTGAAAAAATTTAGAAGTTCCAATCTTACTTGTGATTTTAAATTTGGAAATATCTAATAATGTAGTTAAGCGGAAGAGACACAAAAAGTTGTTGTGTCTCTTGTTATTGTTATTATTATCATTTAAATTATATCTGCGAAGATTATATCTCTGAGATTCTAACCAGAGAAACAATGTTTAAAATTACAAATGCAATTCTGGATATTCACATTTTAATAATAACAAATTTTATTTAAAATCCGTATTTTTGCGTGGATTTCGTCGCTGCGATGCTTTGAATTTCCAGTCCGATTTCGAGAATTCAGATCGTCGAGTTTTAAATACGATTAGAACTTTTAAAATTCAAATATGATATATATTTTGCTTTGAGATACGTCGAACTTGGCTGAAATATTAGCTGAAGTTGTAGTTCGAAACTTGAAATTTGAGTCTTCGAATATGATCAGTCAATATGATCCAAATTCGAAAACGTGAATTAAAAAGGTACAACTGTGTCTTTGATATTCTCTGAGTGATTTGAGTTTATTCAAGTATGTCATGTCGGAATTTCCTTTGCCGTTCGTAAAATGTGATTTAAATTTGTTTTACTTTAAGATACTAATTCATTCTTATATTTATTTTTACATTGAATATGATACATTTTATGAAATAATCATTGCAATGAATGTCCTAAACACTCGAAAATGAAAAGTTCTTTACAACCCTTTCCTAATTGGTTTTAGTGAAATTCGTGGAATTAAACTAATATATTTACAAATTTAATTTGAAACAGACCTACTTCTCCTACGTTTAAATGATACCTGATGATAAAGCGAATACTTTCTTGA